TCGATAAAGAGGGCGAGGTGAGAACAACATCCAGGGATTTGATGCGTTCTCGATCTGGCGTTCTCGAGAATTGGAACGGTACTCGGGCTGAGGCTGATGACCTGTCACGAGTACACGAGCACACGAGAATGCTCAAGAACGCATATTGAGAAACGGCCCTAACGTCCAGACTGCAGACTGCAGCAACAGGAACATCCCCCCCCACCGCTTCTCCCCCCCAACAGTACGGCGAGCGTTACAGGACAAAATGTCTTCCACAACGTCCGCATCACCTACCTTCTCAAGTGATGAGGTTTGGTTACATAGATAATTTTACAGATAGTATTTATTAGTATCTATAGTAGTATTTAGTATCTATTGTTCAGTACCGTCTCAGTTCATCTCTCTCAACTTGCCGAAGTTACTTTCGAGCGTAATGGGTGATCTCGCAATCGCTAGTTTGTTGGCTCTGCGCTGCCGTAGCGCAAAGATGTCTGCCTCCATGGCTGCGAGACCCGCTCATATGTAATTATAAATAACGAATTCTAAGACAACGCAAATATTAAGGTTAAGAGGCTGAGCTCGTAGATGATGATAAATAACATAGTTATGTATAATATATTACATTTCTGACTGTATATTTCTGTAATTATTACACACTGTAGCTGTAATGTAGGGTTCCCCTGGCCCTTCCAAAATGATACCAATACATCTGTTACATTAACACTGATACTGGAGTTATTTTGCAGAGTGCAGCACACAGCCAAGCTTAGCCTAGTGCACACATCTTTCTGAAGGACTTAATAGGGAATCATAGACAGACAATCCATAATCTGTCAGTTTTTCATTGGTCCTTGTTAACTGATCACATGAGGCCCTGATGCCTAAAGTTGCATTTAAGAGTTTTTCAATTAGACAACATTGATATTATTGTCACCCTTAAGCATTCTAACATTCACTTGAAGACATTTACATACATAAAAATATAGTATACAAAATTGAGAATTTTAAAGTAGAGTTTAGCATGTTGTACAGCTATACACTCTGGATTTATTTAGTTCTAAAAAAAGATTTATTTATATAACTAATTATATAACTAATAACAGGGTTTGATCTGCTGTGTGTTCTTTTTTTGCTATATCTTCAATTTAAGAAAAATGTGAAAGAGGTAAGACGCAGATCATCTCTAAGTTGAAAGCATGAAGTTGACAGAGCTTATACTACCCAGACTGTACGGTCTTTGAAAACAACCCAAACAAACATCATAGAACTTATTCTTCACTTTACAAACTAGCAGAGCAAGAAGTTTTATCATTATCTTCCCAATCAGAGTTCAAATAAGGTTTATTATCATTCTCAGCATGACAGTTTCACTGGAAAGAGAACATATTAAATTGATTGTTTTTCGGTACATTATGCTGCTGAAATAAGAAAACAACAGCTTCATGCACGTAAAGCTTCAAAACTCTGACTCTAAAAGTTTTTTATCTTAATTTTTAGTTCTTTAGTTAGCTTAACGTCCTCCGAATAAACACAAAACAAATTTATCAAAGAAGCTTGAAAAAGAAATCTACCAAAACAGTGACCACATCCATTACTAATTACCTTAAACAAAAACTGAGAATCAGTGCAAAAGCACACCATTGTGATGTCAATGCTACACACATAGTTTCCATCATATTTTATGTTAAAATCTTTTATATTTTTTTTTTTACAAGAGCATAATGCAAAGGTTGGTCATAGGGCACCGTCACGGCTCCGCAGCAACGACTGCATCTCTGATTTTGTGATGACCTCAGAACCTCGGACAAAATATTCAAAGCAGACAAATCTACACGATTTAACAAACAAGCTTTATTACAAAATACGGCTTCCAGAGCTCAAGGGGATGATGAGCTGGCGCCAGCCGAAGCCGAGGAGGCCGTTAGGGAATATCCAGAGCAGAAGTCGAATCCAAACCAGGTTGACCAGAAGATCAGAGAGCCGATGAGGTGCTGAAGGAAAATCCAAGAAGAGTTCAGTAACATAGTCAGAGTTCGATAAACCAGCAGATTTCAGGAAATCAGTCCGAAAACGAAACTGACAGAGCAGAAAAGGGCAAGGCAAAACTTACTTGAACACTAGATTTACTCTCACAAAACAGCTCGAATAATCTGGCACCGATAGTAGGAAGACAAACAGCATAAATAGCAGAGGAAACCAGGTGGAAACGATAAGCGTTAATGAGCCGCTGGGCCAATTAGACAGGCTAACAGGAGTAAATGAAACTGCCAACCATCAGCGCCAAGACTATGACAGATTTCTGAATTTATGAAATGCGTCTTTGTATTTTTTTGACTGTTTTCTAATTTGACCTATTTAAATGCAGGAGAATATTTCGCTACACAGAAGTGAAAACTGTGGCATTGTCCCACACAAATCAGGACATCTGATCACTTTTAATGGTAAGGTATCAAAAAACCTCAAGGATTGATCTTTTTAAAATAATTTCCAAGTAACTTTAATCTACTTTTACCTCCATAATTTCCTTAAGTTTAATCTTTGAGAAGAAACCCTCCCAAAAAATTGTCATATTTCAGAACTGTTGCATCTGGACCTAATGCTAAAGCCGTTGAAAAAAAATCATAAGTGCTGCAGATATAAAAGTCAGCATGGGAGTAGGAATGGAAGAGTTACAGCAGGAGAGAGGTGTGCAGACCAAAGAAGGAACTACTTAGTGACACAACAGCTCGGCCGAAGAGCACAGCGTTAGTTATCTTAAGAGAATCGCATATAAGGCATTTGCCTGATTGTTCTTCCTCAGCGCTTTGGATTGTGCAACAGCGAGATAACAATCCATTATTTTCTTTACAGCTGTGAGTCAAACTGAGGGCATTTATTTCTCTTTCTTTGCGGTTGGGAAACAAATACCTTGTGGTCTGAAGTACTGACCACAAACTGCAGCTGCAACATCAATTTATGGGTTATAGAAAAATAATTAGAATAACAATCACGCAATTCACTTTTCAGATTAATACGGGAGTAATGTTTTCTCACAGATTTGAAAAAAGTGAAGTGTGCAGCATATTGGTGTAACTCTCTGGCTGTGGGGGTCTGTTTTTGATGTGTGTGAATTTCAGTGTAAATCTTAATTCCAAGCAGCCTAAGAAGATGATTTTTACTGCAGGAGTTAATGTGCGGGAGAAGGAAGGCGTCTCTGCTACACACAGATAGACTGACCAGGGCGTGCCCTCCTTTAGCCTGATGACAGCATAGATAGGCTCCACTCCTCTTCCCCAGAAAAAGTAGAAAAAAGGATGGTTAATATTAGAGTATATCACATAAGAAACATTCCTTGTTTTACACAGGGTAAAAAATTATTAATTAAAGAGACACATATCATGATTGACGATCCAGATAAGTCGTGATTATAAAATAATGTGTTTATACCTAGTTCATCCACATACAGCACACAATATAGAACAGCTGCAAGTCAGAAATTGCTTACCCATCATTATGATGCCAGGAGTAGAATAAAAGTGACCTAAATGCACTTTTGGTTATATTATTGGAAACCTACCTATTAGAAAAAAGTTACACACTTTCCAAAAAGTTTTAAGCTGTTTTTTAAGTCTTCGGAAAGAAAACTGTCATAACTTATAAACAACGGATAAAGATGTGGTAGTACAAGAGAATTAAGTCTGTTTGGCTTCCTAAGCTCCATAAAACCACATGACATCGTTAACCTCTTACATTTTCACTTTTGTTTTATTCCCATATGGGAAAAAGATATTACAGCATATGTTTTACCATCTATTTTGATATTTTAGCAAAAATATTCTGAATATTTCTATTTCTGTTTAACACGATGTTGAGCAAGTCAGGCAACACGCCCCTGTATTGTGTCATTACAAAAACATTCATCACAAAATATGTTTTGTCCTTATACTATTATTGGCTGAAAAATGCTGCATGTAAATATATATATATATAAAAAAAAAACTGTTATATTATTATTTAACCGTTTGTAGAAAATCTTAAAATTGATTTAACCTGACCTTAAGTTATTAGCTCTTATATATGTTTTCGGACCTTTTAGGGCGCTATATAAAAAGAACTGTGGGACTTGGGTTTGCCCTTTTTTCTACTTTTATTTTTACAAACCATCGCAATCAAATACAGATCTTTAGTTTCACAGTGACTTTTTTTCAGCCATGTTTTTTTTTATGTTCATGCCATTTTGGATGCAGTTATTTGTCAGATGTCCAAAAAAGACCCCCAAAAAAAAAAAAATAAATCTAGATCATTTTCTGGTTGCTCTTCATTATAAAATGCATTCCCATATTTCGTGAATTTTTTTTTTTTTTCAAATTGTGAATTAGGTTGATCTTTTTTTATTTCTACAGTACATGCTTCTCTCTATAATTAACTGCTATTTCATTCCAAAGATGTTCATCACTGGGACACCGAACCTGTTCCCTTACTGAATGGTATGATGATGCATTAACAAACAAGCTTTATTACTACAAACGATAAATCTAACCCACAAAGGTCCATAGTAAATTTCACACAATGAGACTGTGTTTCTGAAGGGTTTAAGTAACAGTCACATGTTTGCCTCCATTTAACTCAAATGATGTACAATGAACTCTCCAAAGCTTACAATGCATTACAGCCCCAGCTGGATTTCCCATTGAATCAATATTATATACAGCGGATTTTGAAGAAAATAGTACAAAACCCTTTCCAAAATATATTGGTATTGAGCAAACAGAGGTACATTTAGTAATTTAGTAATCTAAAAAAGGGAAAGTTTATTCAGATTTAATATCAATCATGAAGAAATGATAAGTATATTTATACAGTTATGTAGATATTTAGTCTTAACTGTAAATGAATCCCAGCTGTGATTGTTCACATATGTGCAACCCTATCAGGGCGCTTATCCATGTGCTGCTTACACACACAAAAGAGCAAGCAGTTAGGCTCCTCCTTCTTGTCTTCAGCTAGGGTGTGATTATCTTATGGAACCTGCACCGAGAGGGAGAGGGAGAGAAAAAGAGAGACCAAAAGAAAGAGTGGGTAGCCACTCTGGTGCACTCTGGTGGTTCCTGTAAAGGCTTCAGTATTTGCTTGATCTCCACACAGTGGCATTGTGGCTACAACAAGATTCTGAGACAAACTATTCTCAGTGGACAGACTTAAATGGACAAATCTAAGCTTTTCGTACTCCAGAACTTTTATTTCTTTATACTCATGCATTTTTCCAGGACTCATGAACTTTCTGCAACTTTTTTAGTTCTTTGGACAGTTTGGTTTCACCGCTTGGGAGAACATGTTGCTTGTCTTGGAAAGATGAAGACCCAGAATGCTCATTTGAGGGCTGCAAGAGGAGGACTCCTGAGGTGCGACATATGAGCATTCTCTTCAAAGAAGAGAAATTATTTACAGTGGAAAACTTCTCCTACTCTCAGGTTTGAGAGGATTTATGTCTGTGTGCTGGTTTAGCCAGGTCTATATTTTCTAAGATTTTTAACACCATTCAACTAGTGGTGACTGAGTTTTATGCCAGTGATGGATCCTGGTAATGGAACATACTACCGAGATCCACCGGGAGACTGGTTCTTCGTCATGGCAGTCAACATCATCCTGGTCACAGTGTTGGGAAACCTGCTGGTCATCATCGCCGTGGCTCGCACTCCACAGCTACAGACTTCAACAAACATCTTAATCATGTCGTTAGCATGTGCGGACCTTATCATGGGGACCCTGGTGGTCCCGTTTGGGGCCAGTTATGTTCTAACAGGTAATTGGCAGCTTGGTAACACTTTCTGTAACCTCTGGACTTCAATTGACATATTGTGTGTTACAGCGAGCATTGAAACGCTTTGTGTCATAGCAGTTGATCGGTATGTAGCCATCACAAGGCCACTGCGGTACACAGTTCTACTCTGCAAATTTCGTGCCCGAGTAATAGTTTGTTTAGTGTGGGTTGTGTCTACTTTAATTTCGTTTGTTCCAATTATGATGACAAATTGGTGGAAAAATAATGAAACAGAGGCGATGGAATGTTATAAAAGTGAGAAATGCTGTGACTTTGTGGTTAACGAACAATATGCAATTTCATCCTCATTAGTCTCTTTTTATATCCCCCTGGTGATTATGATAGCTGTGTATGCAAAAGTCTTTGTTATTGCTGCACGGCAGGTAAAGCTCATAAAGAAAAACCGGCCTCGTTTTCAGAGCGACTGTCTTGCACAGATTCAAACTGGTGCCAACTTGAACGATCTCCTGCAGCCAGCGTGCATGGCCTCCAACAGCTGCAACAATGTGACGAGGAGAAAGAGTACCAAGAGGAGACCATCACGACTGATGATCGGTGAGCTCAAAGCTATTAAGACTTTAGGCATCATCATGGGGACCTTCACCATATGTTGGCTGCCATTTTTTGTTGCCAACATAATCAAAGCTTTTAAAAAAGACATCCTTGATGGGGACCAATTCCTGTATTTAAATTGGCTAGGTTACATTAACTCTGGCCTCAATCCCATCATCTACTGCAGGAGTCCAGAATTTCGAACTGCTTTCAAGAACCTTATTGGCTGTCCGTGGCTCTCCACGGCATGGCTGAACTCTTTTTATAAGGAACTGCGAACTCGCTGCTCCTGCTTTCTATGGCAAACTGAGCCAGGCACTGGGGAGTCTTTCCAAAAGTCTCCAGATGGTAGGACTGAAGGCAGTGGCAGCCTAGGCAGCAGAAGTGAGGAGATCTCCATTGGTCTTTCACAATCCAATGGCAGCACACAGTTCACCGACTGCTTGGAGCCAGAATCCTAACTGTAAGTTTCTATTTTCTTATTTTTAATAGTTATTTTTCATTGCAACTACACATACATAAGTCATTAAGATCCAAGTATTCCTGAAGACATTGTGAGATTATATCTTTACAATTTATATTAGAGATGCAACTGTCTGATGGACGGAGATTACAAACTGACAGTTTTCATCACCTTTATCAGCTGAAATGTATTTGATTGGAAATAGTTCCTCAAAATTTACATAAAACATTTGCTGTCTTGAAAACACAACAGCCAAGAGCATGTATGGTGATGCACTTCAATTAAACAGATTTGAATTTAGTTGCTGATAGTGCACAGTGTGCACCATAATATCCTCTACAAAGGTAGAAACACAAGAGAAGCAGGAGCCTCTTTTCTTTGTGGTTCTTTTTAAATATTTATTTACGGGTGATACAAAGGAAGATTCTTAACAGAGCGTTTCTGTGTAACTGGGGCAATCCCTCTCTTTTGGATTTAGGAGTAATACATTTGTCAAAGGATGGAGTAATGATAAAAGAAATGAAAAAAAAAAGAAAACATAATCAAAATTGAAAGCACCAGTACAGTGCACCAAGACAGCTGGGAATTGACATGAGATAAGGAAACCCTGTTTTGTACAACGGTAATGTCTGTATCAAACATTAGACCCAAGCTACACTATAGCAGTGAAAAATAGGTGATCTTATCACAAAGCAATAGCAATTATTTTAATACCTCTGGCTTTATGTGTAACCAAAAACTCAAATATAGCATTGTCCTAAAAGACTGGAATATTACATGTCAAAAGTCAGTTTACTAGTATTTTTTAGATTGTATTAACAATAAACTGAAAGAGGAGTGAGGTTTTTTAAAGAGCTTTATCAATTCCTTTATTATAGATGTGTTGTTTTTTTTTGTTCAATTTTTTTCTATGTGTAATATTTAAGGAAACATCTAAAATGTTGAAGCAGCTATGGGACATGTACAGCACATAATCAAATTCACAGAGAATCTGTTATATATTCTTGGCTGCATAGAGATACTATAAAGATTTGCTTCTGGCATATTTAATATACTTTCACAAAGAAATCCTGGATTTATTTTTTAAAAAATGTCTATGTAGTGATTTTATATCAGGTAGTAAGTAAAAAAATGTAAGGGCTTGTATTTCAAATAAACCTCATTCTCATGAAAGACCATGATATAATTGCTTTAGTGTAATTATTTCTATTCATCTTTATTTAATATTTAGCAAATAACATTTATGATATGATTCAAATTAGAAAAATAACTTTTTTGTTTGAGTTTCAAACTTTAAGACAACTTAACATGAAACAAATTCAATCAAATCAAATCAAATTCAATCAAATCAAATCAAATTCTTAAGTTGATATGAAAAAAAGTAGTTTAAAAAAATCTATATTTGAACATCTTAAGCTAAACTGTTTTTGCTGAGTGAAATATCTGGAGCATTACATCCTCAACATATGTTTGGAAGTTCAAAATCCATATTTTGAATTTGATCCCAAAATCAATAAAAAAGTCTTCATTTTAGTCTCAGTGTGTCACTTATTTAATTTGAAGATGCAAAAAAATTGAGTCAATGTAAAAGTATAAAGCCTTAGATTTTATATAATAAAACCATATAGTAATTAATGATATGCATAAGAAAAACATATAAACTGTTGTCTGTGCAAAATAAAAAAGTGCTTGTGTCATTATCACAACAGCAGGTTGTTAAAAGAAAGAAAGTTTTTTTATTGAGCTCAGCTGTTGAAGGCTGATTCGTCCGATCACGTGATAAACAGGGACTGTCGGTGGGCCTCAGCGTGCCCTGCCCAACGCTCGCTGGAGCAGATAAATCTTTATCACTAATGCGCAAGACTTCCCCCTCATAGCTGGACAGCCTGTTTACAAGACCGATAACCAATGAGGTTATCCCTATTGGGCTGAGGCAGCTAAGGTTGGGTACCTCCGTATTTGATTCATGCCCAAGCTATCAGCAGGCCTACAGTACACACTAGCATGATGGTATCTGTAAATTCAGAAGAAATAGAAGGTCTATAATAATTGACATGATCTATAAATGGAAAAGTATATTTTTTTTAATAGTGTGTTGATTTCATTTCTGATTAATAAAAACTACATTTTAAAATCAGAGATGAAAAAAAAAAAGACTGATTTTGATATCTAAAAATTCAATTCTAAACCCATTTATTCAATTTTTTACTGCAGATTGTTACTTATGGAGACCTCTTGTTGGTAATTTAGCTGTACGGCTCTGGTCCTGTCTCATAAAAAACATCATTAAATATTTGCTGTACACACTACATGCCATTTACCACCCTTCCTGACAACCCTTGCCATAATTTAAAGAAATCCATGAGCACATAATACAAAGGATATTTAGGGCCTTATAAAAGCCTTCCATAAAAGGAGCGTGGTGTGTTCTGCAGTAAATCAGCCTAAGGGAAGGCTCAGTCGCCTCACCCTGCGCACCCAGCAGGATTACAAACATAAGCGGGAGCACTCGATCAAATATGAAGCTGACGGGTGAGAGACCTAAAGACCGGCTTTAATAAAGGAAATTATAACCTTTTCCAAATACACTCTGATCTTCTAAGAAGAGATGCTTTGGAGAACTAATACTGCCATCCTGATTCTTTTTCAAGGGAGCAAACCATCGGAGCTGTCCAACCTAGTCCACATTAAGAATAAAGCCCTACTAGACAGCCTAGTTCCTGTAAAACTGCGACAACGTCTGCAGAGTTTAAAGCATGAGGTGGAGGACGGCAACGCAGATTAAAGACAGAGATACAACCTCCAAGATTAGAAGCTACGTTTTAAGAATGGGCGTCTTGCATTGCAAAGTGAAGACATTATCAATAGTTACTTTGTTTTCTTTGAAGTCTATGCTGGCACATCAGCACTGCCCCCATCAACATTTAGAACAGGCCTTTTGCTTGTGTCACGCACACCGCATGTTAAATGACAAACACATATTTCTATACAGTAGATTTATTCCCTGACTATTCTCTGAGGTAGCATTGCTGGTTCAAAAACTTTTCAAACTTTTAACATCTTAGGAAATTTTAAGGCTTCCAAGGATTTGGAATAATAATATGGAAGGGCTTAAGACCTGAGCATTGATATTTAATTATGTCATAAACGGAGAGAAAAAAAAAACTGTCCACTGGCACTGCAAGTTCAATTGAAGGATGTGGAATATTTCTGTATTCACCTTTGCAGAATGAGTTTTAAGTTGGAAAATAGAGTGCAGGAGCCATTAAAATCTCATTAAGGGGAAGTTTGAACATTTCCCTACCAACCCTGTCTTCAAAGCGTTGTTTAAAACAGAGTGATAGCTGTAATAACATGTTGATTACACATTTAAAAGCTACTTAAAAACTACTGTTAAAACGCCTGCTTTATTATTTGAATGTAACCAATTCAGAAAACTAGATGTCTACTAGCTATTACCTGTATTACTAGCAGTTTGTAGCTTTGCTATCAAGCCAAGCAGTTATCATATCTTCCATTTATTTGATCTTTTTCCTAGATCCTCATTCTTACTGCAGATGTAGATAGATATCAAGTAGAATTTGCTCTTGGTTTGAAATTTCCTGCTTTAGATTCAACATGAGGTTTCAGAAATCTTTCCCTCTGCAGCCATCATCTGTGTTCCAGTTTGAAGGAAAGATTTCTGTGTGGTTAACTATTGTTTTTGTGTTGCATTGGTTTTGTAACTCCACATCACAGTTATTTAGCATTGTTTACTTTGTAAAGGACTGACTTCCGTTTATTTTAGCGTAAGACTTCCAAAGGTAAACAAGGACCACAACAGTTGTGTAACTGCATTCTATCACAGCTTTTCTTGCATATTTCAAAAACAATTTTATGGTTTTTGCAATTGCCTGTCTGTCAGGTCTATTTCAAATTATAAGAAATATACTTTTTAAATGGTATCAAATCCAGAGTTTCTGAGTGT